AATATTGATCGACCTATTTCTCATCAAACTGACAGTCCTATTGAGAAAAGTAATGCACTAGAATTATAATACCTACATAAAAGTAACACGTCTGAGATAGTATTCAAACTTCTCTTTGAAGCTACGTAAAACCGGAGTGAAAGGAGAGTATAATAAATCCTCTTTTCATAAAACCGCCAAAATGAAGGTTGTTTGATAAATTAATGTTGTCATCTTCTAATCATTGCACACTGCCCATCGGATTCATCGGATTGATTCGGGGCTACTTTCAAAATCAAATCGCTACCCAGGAATTACAACGTTCTACCTGCTCAGTAACTTGCTTTGAGAAATTTGACATTAAAAAAATTATTTTGAGTTTCACATGTGTAGCTTTTTCGAAAGCAATTTTTAAAACATTTTAGGAAAGACTCCGAATAATCATTCACAATTTTGATAGAACAGATAAAGCATTTGGTTACTGACCTCAAAACAGCCAAAAATGTCAGATAGAATGTTGTATTTCTAAAGTATCGAAATCGTGCAAAATCTGTCCTGCGCTCAACTTCTCCCACTTTTAGGGAGTCTCACCCTACAGTAAACAACTATACAAAGATTCTCAAGCGTGACGTATACACGAACTTAGTACCATTTATTCTCTTTCTCCCATTACTCGTTGCCATTGGCCGCTGCGGTCTAAAAAATAGAATTAGCATATTAACTAGGCCATGCCGCGGAAGGACCGAAACTGGTTGCGGAAGATATTTTTTATGAAGGATCAGTAACTTCGGAAGTCGGAAGTTTTACTGTCAATAGGACTGGGGCGTGCTGGTTCGTGAATGGATTAGTGGTATTCGCCTGGTTTATTCAGAAAGAGGTAAGTCAGAAAAATCGACTGTTGGTGGTACTTTTTATATAGTAACTAAAATATAAAGAAGAAGTCAGAATAGTATAAGTATAGTTACGAGTAGGGTATTATAAGTCAGAAGAATCTGCTGTTGGATGTACTTTGGCATACAAATATAGTGACTAAAGTATAACGTGACTGAATAGTGATATCGAAATGTAGTTTCAAGTAGATTTTAAAATATGAATGATAATAATAAAAGCTAGCATTAAGTAGCGAATCCCCCCCCCCTTCTGACCGCGCACAGCAAACTTTAAGTGCTTTACACTATATTATTCTAATTACCTAAGAAGACCCTTGGACGCTAAGAAACATTCTATATGGCACCATGGTGAAAAAAAGGCGCTTGCTAAAATAATGAAATCAACGAAACGATGGTTTTCTGCCCTTTTTTTTTCTTGGGGCTTTGGGGTATGGGGGAGAGGAGGGGGGGGGGGCATCTTCTATGTCCAGTTGAAAACATAACATTTCCGTGTGGATTTTACAGAAAAAACGTTGATCAATCACTCAAAACAATATTAAAATCTGCAGTTTTCAAGGAGACCCAACCTTTGGTACTCAACAAAATGTGACGGCCATTTTCTTGCCGATTTGACTTCTGACACCAGGCAATCCCCCACCTCCTTCAATCGTAAATATCTTGACTATCTATCTTGAAAGATAGATAGGTATTTTTTGTCATCAAAAGCAAGGGGAAAAAACCTCAAAGAAAAAAAAAAAAAAAAATGATTATAGAATCATTTTTTTTTTTTTTTTTTGTTGGTTTGTTTTTGCTTTGCTTTTGATGACAAAAAATACCTATCTATCTTGAAGGATAAAAAATTATGAGCGTCTGATTCCACCGTGTCGTGACGCGAATAGTGATATAAAAAAGTACTTCAAGCAGATTTTTATGTAATTAAACTAGGAAAGAACTAGATAACGATGCAAAAAAAAACCCAACAAAACAACAATGTAAATACTTTAAAGTAGATTTTATTGTAACTAAACAGTGGTGACAAACTCTATTTTGATGTATATTGATAAATAGCATTTGTATAACACAACCTCCAGCTCAACAGCAAGCTCTACGCGCTTCGCAGTCCATGACATTACCCTATCAGACCTGCTACCATTCTGAAACTATCTCAACAGTGCAAGCTGCCATTTTCTGTCCCCGGGAATTTACGCACCCCGCATAATTTAGCAACATTTGATAATTTTTTGCATAATTTCTGATTATTTTCATTTATCATTCTTTGGTAAAATTAACAAAATCGCATAATTTCACATTTTTGGGCTTAGTTTGCTTAAAA